GGTGAAAGGTTGGGAAAAACCATAGCACTAATATAGACCGCAAAATCAAGCAGGGGTTTCCATCCTCATGTCAAATAAAGAAGACTTCAAGCTAAAGTTAATCAAAAGGAATAAAGAAGGACACTACATACTGCTCAAGGGAACCATATACCAACAAGACTTAACAATTATAAATATATATGCCCCAAACAATGGAGCATCTTCATTCATCAAACAAACTCTTCTCAAGTTCAAGAGTCAAGTAGACCACAACACAATAATTTTGGGTAACTTTAACACACCTCTTTCACCACTAGATAGATCTTCCAAACAAAAGCTGAACAAAGAAACTATAGAACTCAATAATATAATCAATAACTTAGACTTAACTGACATATATAGAATATTTCATCCTTCAATGAGAGAATATACTTTCTTCTCAGAAGCACACTTTTTTCTCTAAAATAGATCACATATTATGCCATAAAGCAACTCTTAGCAAATAAAAAAAAGTAGAGATACTATCAGATCATAATAGGATGAAATTAGAAATCAATGATAAAATAAGAAATAAAAGCTACTCCAACACCTGGAGACTAAATAATATGCTATTGAATGAACAATGGGTTGCAGAAGACATCAAGAAGGAGATTGAAAAATTCTTAGAGATAAATTAAAACACTGACACAAAATATCGAAATCTCTGGGACACTAAGAAGACAGCACTAAGAGGAAAGTTCATTGCATGGAGTTCATTCCTTAAAAGAAGGAAAAAAATCATCAAATAAATGACCTAACATTATATCCCAATGCCCTAGAAAAAGAAGGACAAATCAACACCAAAAGTAGCAGAAGACAGGAAATAATTAGAATTAGAGCTGAAATCAATGAAATAAAAAAAGAAAGAATTAAAAAAATTGACAAAACAAAAAGTTGGTTTTTTTGAAAAAATAATTAAATTGACAGACCCTTAGCTATGCTAACAAAGAGAAGGAGAGAGAAAACTCAAATTACTAGCATACGTAGTGAAAAAGGAAATATCAAAACATAGAAATACAGAAGATAATTAAAAATTATTTTGAAAACATGTACTCCAATACAATAGAAAATATCAAAGGTATTGGCAAATTTCTAGAGTCATATGATTTGCACAGCTTAAATTAGGATGACATACACAATTTAAACAGATCAATTTCAAGTGATGAAATAGAAAACGCCATCAGAAGCCTATCAACCAAGAAAAGCCCAGGACCAGATGGATACACAGCTGAGTCCTACAAGACTTTTAAAGAAGAACTAATACCAATACTCTTCAATTTATTTCAGGAAATAGAAAAAAGAGGGAGCACTTCCAAACTAACTCTATGAGGCCAATATCACCCTAATTCCAAAACCAGGCAAAGACACTTAAAAAAAAAAAGAAAAAAAGAAAGAAAACTTCAGACCAATATCTCTAATGAACATAGATACAAAAATTCTAGATATACTTTTGTATAACTCTGAGGGTCTCCTTCCATTTCCATGCATTTTCCCTTCTCTCTCCCTTTCCCTCCCACCTCTCATCCCTGTTTAATGTTAATCTTCTTCTCCTGCTCTGGGAAAAATAATATAAGGGGGACAAACGAATGTCAGTAGAGGGAGCAGAGAGAGAAGAGGGGAGGGGAGGGGAGGGGAGGGGAGGGGAGGGGGGATAGTAGAGGATAGGAAAGGCAGCAGAATACAACAGACACTAGTATGGCAATATGTAAATCAATGGATGTGTAACTGATGTGATTCTGCAATCTGTATATGGGGTAAAAATGGGAGCTCATAACCCACTTGAATCAAATTGTGAAATATGATATATCAAGAACTATGTAATGTTTTGAACAGCCAACAATAAAAAATTAAAAAAAAAAAATTCTAGATAAAATTCTGGCAAGTTGAATACAAAAACATATCAAAAAGATAGAACACCACAATCAAGTGGGGGTTCATTCCAGGGATGCAAGGTTGGTTCAACATACGGAAACCACTAAATGTAATTCATGACATCAATAGACTCAAAGATAAGAATCATATTATCATCTCAATAGACACAGAAAAAGCATTTGACAAAATACTGCACTCCTTTTTATTCAAAACACTAGAAAAACTAGGGATAACAGGAACATATCTCAACATCATAAAAGTTATCTATGCTAAGCCCCAAGCCAACATCATTCTAAATGGAGACAAATTAAAAGCATTCCCTCTAAAACCTGGAACAATACAGGGATGCCCCCTTTTACCACTTCTATTTAACACAGTTCTTGAAACACTGGCCAGAGCAATTAGACAGATGGAAGAAATTAAAGGGATAAGGACAGGTAACAAAGAACTCAAATTAGCACTATTTGCTGACGATATGATTCTATACCTAGAAGACCCAAAAAATTCCACCAGAAAACTTCTAGAACTAGTAAATGAATTCAGTAGAGTAGCAAGATACAAAATCAACATCCATAAATCAAAGGCATTTCTGCATTATCAGTGACAAATCCTCTGAAAGGAAAACTACCTCATTTACAATAGCACCAAAAAAGTAAAACACTTCGGAATCAACTTAAGAGGTGAAAGACCTATACAATGAAAACTACAGAATGCTAAAGAAAGAAATTAATAAAGACCTTAGAAGATAGAAAGATCTACCTTGCTCTTGGATAGGCAGAATTAATATTGTCAAAATGACCATTCTACCAAAAGCACTATACAGATTTAATGCAATTCCAATCAAAATCCCAATGGTATTCCTCATAGAAATAGAAAAAGTAGTCATGAAATTCATCTGGAAAAACAAGAGACCCAGAATAGCTAAAGCAATCCTTAGCAAGATTCCCACTATACCAGAACTTAAACTATACTACAGAGCAATAGTAACAAAAACAACATAGTATTGGCACCAAAATAGATTTGTAGAACAATGGTACAGAATAGAGAACACAGAGACTAACCCACATAATTACAGTTAGTTTATATTTGACAAAGGTGCCAAAAACGTACATTGGAGAAAAGATAGCCTCTTCAACAAATGGTACTGAGAAAAGTGGAAATCTATAAAAAAGTGGAAATCCATGAGCCAGAGGCAACATTCATCAGAACAAAATGAAATTAAATCCCTCTCTCTCACCATGCACAAAACTCAACTCAAAGTGAATCAAAGATCTAGGAATTAAACCAGAGACACTTCATCTATTAGTAGAAAAAGTAGGCCCAAATCTCCATTACGTTTAATTAGGCCCTGACTTCTTTAATAAGATTTCTATAGAGCAAGAATTAATATCAAGAATCAATAAATGAGATGGATTCAAACTAAAGAAACAAAAGAAACCTCAGCAAAAGAAACAATCAGTGAGGTGAACAGACAGCCTACTAATTGGGAACAAATTCTTACCACACACTTCACATAGAGCACTAATCTCTAGAATATATAAAGAACTCAAAAATCTTAACACCAAAAAAACAAATAACCAAATCAATAAATGGGCCAAGGAACTGAACAGACACTTCTCAGAAGAAGATATACAATCAATCAACAAATATATGAAAAAATGTTCAACATCTCTAGCAATTAGAGAAATGCAAATAAAAACTAAGATTTCATCTCACTCCAGTCAGAATGGCAGCTATTAAGAATACAAACAACAATAAGTGTTGGCGAGGATGTGGAGGAAAAGGCACACTCATACATTGCAGGCGGGACTGCAAAATGGTGCAGCCAATCTGGAAAGAAGTATGGAGAATCCTTGGAAAACTGGGAATGGAACCACCATTTGACCCAGCTATCCCACTCCTTAGTCTATACCCACAGGACTTAAAACAGTATACTACAGAGACACAGCCATATCTATGTTTATAGCAACACAATTCACAATAGCTAAACTGTGGAACCAACCTAGATGCCCTTCAGTAGATGAGTGGATAAAGAAAATGTGTTATATATACACAATGGAATATTATTCAGCATTAAAAGAGAATAAAACCATGGCATTTGCAGGTAAATGGATGGAGCTGGAGAATATAATGCTAAGTGAAATTAGCCAATCCCCCAAAACCAAATGCCGAATGTTTTCTCAGATTTAAGGATGCTGATTCATAATATGCTGCAGGGGGTGGTGGTAGTGGTAGGAGGGTTAAATGAACTCTAGATAGAGCAAAAGGGGAAAGGGGAGGGAGGGGAAAGGAGGAGGCTTAGAGGTAGGAAAGACAGTAGAATGCGATGGTCATCATTACTCTAAGTACATGTATAAAAACATGAATAATGTGACTCTACTTTGTGTATAACCAGAGATATGGAAAAATTGTGCTCTATATGTGTAATATGAATTTTAATGCATTCTATTGTCATATATAAAAAATTAAAATTAAAAAAGAAATAATTAGCAGACTTGGTCAATCACTCATAACTTACCTAATTGCATAAAATCCTATCAAAAGATACAAAGAAAATCTGTTCACAAAGGATGAAAGAATAAGATGAAATGAAAACTACATGCTAGGTAGTTAACAGTACTTAAACAGTATGAGAGATGACTATGAATAATTGTTGAAAGCATTAGAGAAGACATATCTGCAAGATGTGTCTTGAGTTCTGAAATAAAAGTGGATAGGAGCCAGAGGCAACATCCATCAGATATACTGGGGCAAATAAAGAGTTTATATAAGCAACAACAAAAATCATACTGCTTTTTCACTTTCTGAAAGGTATGACAACTAATTTTATTCCTTCTATCAGTATTTCAAGAATATATGTTATATTTGGCTTTTTATATACCTCTAAAAATTAATCACTTTTATTTGGGAAACACTTCTGTTTTGTTTTAGGTTTTTATTAACTATATTAGCACATGCATATGTTGGGAAAATACTTAATACTCTCTTCCAAGAAATCCCAATGCACACAACTTGGTATAAATTTATGTAATCCTCTTACTAATTAATTTAAAATCTAAACTCAAGCTTGATTTCTGTGTAAGAAACAATCAACAGAATGTGACTTAAGATTGTTCAGGAGAGATAATGTTTAATATGTTTTAGAAAAAGAAGATTTAGTGTGGTTATTTTAAATTTACAAGTTCATAAGGACTCAGCCATAGATGTGAATATAAATAAGGAAACGTTACCAAATTGGAAAAAAAAATCTCAAATTTGATGCCAATAGTGGTGTTAGAATTTTGTATCTTAAAATTTGAGTCATAGCATGATCCTGTCAGTAAAAATTCTTGATATCACTACATTTCAATACTTACTTAAGAGACACAGAGAAGCTAATGTGGTAGTACACACCTGTAGTCTCAGTTACTTGGAAGACTGAGTCAGAAGGATTACTTGAGCCCAGAAGTTCCAGGCTAGCCTGGGCAATACAGAGTGACTGTGTCTCAAAAAACAAAACACAGAAATACCTGACACAGAGGCTACAGCACATGCCATGCAGAAGAGTGGGAAGCACTAGCCTGGAAAATTAAGAAAGTCATGTTCCAGTTTGGGTGAGTCCCCCCCACGTTTAGTCACCCTGGTAAGACACCCTTCTCAAGGTCTTCATTTTGTCATTAAAAAAAAATAGTAAAGGAGTTGGACTTGAAGTTATCTACCATCCTTTCCATAACAGGGTTTTAAGGTACTTTGCAGGATCATCTCAGATGACGTAATACTTATAGCCTATATTAATGCACTTTTGATATATTTATTATCAGAAGCCATTCACACATAAGAATGAATTAAAATATTAGTTCACGAAAAAAATCAATATAATCAGAATCAGAGTCATAAAACTTAGCATTCACAGTATTGAACATAGAAAAAAATATAATAAAATGTTAAAATTAAAAGTACATTTGAGAGAGAGAGAGAGAGAGAGCAAGCTTCTTATGAAGAAGTGTGTTTCAATAACAACCACTCCATAACAACTGTGAATTCAATTTGTGAACATACACCATCTGGGGAAAAATTTAACCCAAATGTCAAACACAGCATCAAAAGGATTCTGGAGTTCCTAAAGACACATGTTGAGAAAGAAAAGAACTCATCCCCATTTCCCCATCCTTCAGACCTAAAGGACAGCATTTAAATTATGCACATCTTTGACAATATTTTATAGAAAATAAATACCCAGTATACAAGAGAAATTTTAACTCAAATCTTCCTCTTCAATTTGTTTTTTATAGCAGACATGTTAATTTCATTTTGAACATGATATGCCAAATATCCTGAGCTTCCAGGAATGAAGTCATGTAACTCCCCAAGGAATTTCTTCATAGCATCAATTGATATATAACCTACAAAATAAGAAAATACATATAAACTTCCATTTGAAATCTTATCATACTTTATGCTGTTCATTGTCTTTGATTTATTAAAGTTATAATTTTTAAAAAGTGACCTGATGAAAGAACTAAAAGAAATAATACCAGTGAGAAGATTCTCCACAAAACCTGGTCATTACCAGGAACATAGCTCCCCCACCCCAACCTCCTACCATCCTTTAAAACATAGATACTTGATAAGTCATTTTGACTAGTAACAGTGTCATGTCCAGATTGGGACTGGAACATATAAGCATTTAAACCAAAATAACTGGGAATAACTGATTTAAAGGATAGTCACTTAGAACTATCTATTTAACTAGCTACCAACAGCACAAACAGCATATCTTCCCTATTAGAACAGACAACTTTTCCTGCACTGCTAACACTAATACAACAGTCTTTGTGAAAATGTAATGGGGTGGGCTGGGGATGTGGCTCAAGCGGTAGCGCGCTTGCTTGGCATGAATGCGGCCCGGGTTGGATCCTCAGCACCACATACAAAGATGTTGTGTCCGCCGTTCTCTCGTTCTCTCTTTCTCTCTCTCTCTCTCTCTCTCTCTCTCTCTCTCTCTCTCTTCTCTCTCTCTTTAAAAAAAAGTAGTGGAAGAAAGGTTTATTTAAAAAAAAATTTAATGGGAAAATTGACATTATTGCTCAGTCAAGAAAAGTTATGGGTGTGAGCAATTTGATGTCATAATAATCTGAAAAAGAGATTACTATCAAAATAAAAAAACAAAAAAAGAAATCCAGCCCAAATGGAAAGAGCTTAAGGACTCGAAAGCAAAAACTTGATAGCAATCGCTTACTATTTGAGTGATTGTATTTTATGTGTGATGTAAATTTTGTGATTTATACTAAAATTGAAATCTAACTTAAAAGTAAACACTTAAAAAGTGAAAACATTTTGGTATAAGTATAATTGAATTTAAAAAAACACTACCATCTAGCTCAACAGGATATCTAAATCCATACCTATTTTAATTGTTTTAAATAAGAAATTTGTAGTTAATAAGTTAACTATGAATCCAACCATATAAAATTGCTGTTTTAAAAATAACCATCAGTAACCTCACCGAATACTGCCCAGATAAAAGTATACAAATATCTACCTCTAATGCACCAAATAAAAATGTGAAAGAAAATATCTGCCTCACTCAAAACCATTCAAACACCAGTGGCCATTTTTCAACTGGTTCCATTAGTTCTATCCTCTCATCACCTTCTCAAGTTCAACTTGTTAGCTGACTTTTCTTTTTGTGGAACACTCAGGTAGGAGACTGAGTGATCTCTGAATAGACTTCTGGGCATCTCTGAATCTCCTTAAATTTTGTGTAAAGTCTGTAGTGTGTATGTGTGCAAGCACACACACACATGCCTACACACAAGCATGATAAAGAAAGGGGCCTAGGTTTCATCAGACCCTGAAAGAAAATTATTATTGGGGTTTTCCACATAATTCCAAACTGGGACACTTGAAAATACAAACTGATGCCAAACACGCGAAGGCTCTGGGTTTGATCCCCAGACTGCAAACAAAACAAAACAAAACAAACAAACAAACAAAACTGATGCCTGAAAACAAGCATAAGTTGGGAATGTATTTATTTACTCTACCTAGAGACCACTATTCTAGCACAGAAAATATGAGACCTATCCTTGGATTAATTTTGCAGGTTAATTTATTTAATATGTAGACAATGTCTCTTCCATTATCACATATAATTTAGAGCTCTTACTTATTAGGCATTTGAAGTACAACAGCAGCTTTATTCTAAACACTATTTCCTTGTTTCTTTTCTAGCTGGGTTTACTCTAAGTTTTAAGTCACCTGTTACCATGTTGTTCACTGGATAATTCTGAAGAGGGAAGTACATTTGCTTTTCTACAACTGGAGTCCTTATAAAATTCTTTTCTATGCTGTAAAGTGAAACATACAGTAAGCCATATATATATGACATTTTTATATATATCCCTGACAATCATTCAATAATCCTTTAAATTAAAAATATATGTATCAGCAAAAGAAAACACAGTACTCTATTTTAAATGATTACAGCACCTTTGTTATTCAGCATTCAAATAATATAGACACTATTTACTAGTATTTTCACACTTTACAATACCAAATTAAAAAAAAATATCTGGGAAGACCATAAGCTACAATAAGATTCTTGAAGTGAGTTTTCAGTTTACAAAAATTAAATCTGGCTCAGGAGGCTGAGGGCCTAAGCAACTCAGTGAGACCTTGTCTCTAAAGAAAATATTTAAAAAGATGGGGAGGGCTATGGACATGGCTCAGTGATTAAGCACCCCTGGGTTCAATTCCCGGTACCAAAAAAAAAAAAAAAAATCATGTTTATGTGGTCATGTTGTATAATTAGGTTTTTAAATTTTTAGAATTTTTTTTTTAGTTGTGATGGACATAATACCTTTATTTTATTTATTTATTTTTATGTGGCGCTAAGGATCAAACTCAGTGCCTCACACATTCTAGGCAAACACTCTACCACTGAGCCACAATCCCAACCCCTTATTTTAATTTTATAAAAGCTGAAATGTTTTCAACTGAAATATCTTTTTTTTTTTTTTTTTTTGAGATGAGGTATGACTATATCACCCAGTCGAATCTTAAACTTTTAGAATCAAGTGATCCTCCTGCCTCAGTCTTCCAAACTTCTGGAACTACTGGTATATACCAGCAAATATCCTATTTGCTAACTAAACAAATAACAGCACTTATCATACTTAGACTACATATATCCAATAGATAATAAATAGTAGGAAAATTAAAACCTTAGTTATTAAGAATAATTAATAAATGGAGTTGTCCCTAACTTCATTAATTAAATTTATTTCCTAAAAGTATAAAACTATATTAATAGTAAAAGTATTATTTTCAATTTTTAAAAAATTTAGATTTCATTAAGTTCTTCCAATGGAAACTATATATCACTTAGATGAGATCCTTCAAATAAAACAAAATCATGTTCTCAGAAAAGTCTGAGACTAAACCTTCTTTGTATACAAAAGTAGAAATGTAAATTGGTTTAACTTCTATTCAAGGCAATTTGATAAGAACTATCAAAGATACAAATGTACATGCCTTTTGACCTAGTAATTTTTCTTCTAAGAAACTATCCTACAGATATATGCAAACATGCAAAATGACTACAAACAGTGCCAAAACACTGTTTTTAATAGCAGATTAGAAATTACCTAGAAGTCTATTAAAATAGAAGACTAGTTAACTATGGTGAAATCATATAATGAATTATTACACTGTACAAAGTGAAAAAGCTTTTTATGTTGTAATATGAAATCACCTCCAAGATACATTGTGAGTGAAAAAGAATACAAGGTGCAAAACAGTGTTTGTAGAGAAAGAAAGAAATTTAGATGAATTTGCTAATTTATTTATATATATATATATATATATATATATATATATATATATACACACACACACACACACAAACATATATATAAATATATATATGATAATATTGATTGCTTCTCTAGTAGTCAGTATATTTTTCTAGTACCCCTTTTTACATATCTTGGATTTCAAACCATGTAAATATACCATCCAAAAAAAAAGAAAAAGTAATAATAAGTAAATGCACATAGCTAAGAAAATTATTTTTTTAAGGAGTAATGAGTCTTGGTTTTAATACTTTGTCAAGTATTAAAATACATAAATAAAGTTATCTAATTTAGCACCTATTATATTAATGGAATAAAACACATAGTTTAAATATAGATCTTCATGGTGAAGGGTGTAACTCAATGGTAAAGCACTCGCCTAGCATATGTAAGGCCCTGGGTTCAATTCCCAACACCACAATAATATAAAATAAATAAATAAAATAGATCTTCATACATATAAAAAAAACATGACAAAGAGAAATCACACATAAGTAGGAAACAGATTTATTTTTTAAAAAACTGGAGGAGGCCAGACCTGGTAGCTCATGCCTATAATACCAGCTATTCAAGAGACAGCTGAGACAGGAAGATCACAACTGGAAGAAATGTTACTTGCAAAACAAAAATAAAATTAGATCTTCACCTCATACTATACACCAAAATAAATATCTGCAGAATTTAAAACCTATTTGATCTCTGAATTGGAAAGGCTTTTCTGAATACAGAAGCAACAGAAGAAGATAGGAATAGTGATTAATGATGTAGAAACTAAAAATGAGCATCTCCAAAAAAGTACAAGTCAACAAACCGAAGATACAATTTATCAAATTGACAAAAGAATAATATAGCTATTGTAAAAGACAAGTTGATAAGAAAAACAATAAGGTCCTCAATAGAAAAATGGAGAAAGTTTAAACATAAGCCACAGAAAAGGAAATTCAAAATGCTAAAAAACAAATGTGAAGAGGTTCAAACCAATTAGCAATCAAAGAAAGATGTGAATTAAAACAAGATGACATTTTCATCTATTAAATTAGCACAAGGCGTCTTATTGATACTCAATACTGGTAAAGATGTGGTGAGACCACAATGGTACTAGTTTAAATTTGTACTTTTGTGGGAAGCAACTGGCAATATTCATCATGGTCTTTAAAAATAATTATATCTCAGCCAGGCGTGCTGGTGCATGCCTGCAATCCAAGCAACTTGGGAGGCTGAGGCAGGAGATCGAAAGTTCAAGGCCAGCCTCAGCAACTTAGTTGAGACCCTGTGTCAAATAAAATAAAAAGGGATGGGGACATGGCTCAATAGTAAAGCACTCCTAAGTTAAATCCCCAGTATCTATCTATCTATCTATCTATCTATCTATTTTCATATCTCTATATCATAAATTTCATATCTGAGAATTTACAATAAGAAAATTATAAAAAATAAAGCAAAATTTATTTTAGCTTTATTTTAATTTACAAATAATTATATATATATTTTTAGTATACAAATAGATATAGCAAGATTTATTTTCAAAAGATGTTTGTGAAGTTGTCATAAAAGAGACAAATTGTGAATAATTAAAATAAAATTAACAAAAAGATGGTTAAACAATATGAAATATCATATGCAGCCATTATAAATCATAATATCAATAAGTATTTTCAATATGGGAGCTGCCTGTAGAATACTATATGTAAAATCAAGAGTCAAACTACCCATGCAGAATGACCTCAACTCTATTAAAACTGCGTATATTTGTATAAAATTGGCAAGAAAGGTACTAATGAATGGTGGCATTGATTATAATTCAAATTTTCTTTATTCTTTTCCATATTTCCTATTTTGGGAAATTATATGCATTACATTTATAATAACAAAACAAACAATAAATAAAAGCTTATGCAAGTTTCAGATTTGGGAAACATTTGGGGAAGGGAAAATGGCATAGTGGTTAAGAGTATAGACTCTGGATCAGCTAGACTTGGCCTTACATTCAATTCCACTCCTTGAATGAAACAGGAGAAATTAGCTTTGAAACCATTTTCTCAGTTTTAAACGAGGCTAATAGTATTTATCTCTCTCATAAAGTTGTGAGAATCAAATAAAATTCTGTGACCTGCTTAGCTCACCAGTATCTTGTATTAATCAAGTGTTAAATAAGAGTTTACCCATTTAGTAAGTGTTCAATATCACTAATAGTATTCCAATAAAATAAAGGCTTCATAGGTAGGCTCAGGGTATATTTTATTTATGTTCATACTGCACCCTCTGGTGGTTTCACAAAGAAAAGGCTCTAGGCAGACAACAACCTAATTCATAATAATTCATAATTCATAATAATTCATAATTGATATCCTTTTTAAATTTTTGTTATTGGATTGGTCATATTTTCCCCAGACTTATAAGACTTCTTTGCATATTAAGAAAATGAACATTAATGGGAAGAAAACTTAAAATTGAAAAAATATATAAATTAAGCCATTAAGTTTCATGTAAAGAAACTACTATTTGATCATTTTTATTTCAGCAGTAAAATACCAGATTTTTAAATAATATTCCCCATGAGTATTTGAAAACCACAGAATTGGAAAATATTGAATTAGGACTAGATCATGAATAAGTCTGCATTGATGGAGCCTCTCAGATTTGTACTAGATTTGGTAAGTCTATGTTTGATTGTCTTTTTAAATTTGATTTCTTAGACTTAAAAATAAGAACCATATGATCATCTCGATAGATGTGGAAAAAGCATTTGACAAAGTACAGCATCCCTTTATGTTCAAAACTCTAGAAACTAAACCAGGGATAACAGGAACATACCTCAATATTGTAAAAGCAATCTATGCTAAGCCTCAGGCTAGCATCATTCTGAATGGAGAAAAATTGAAGGCATTCCCTCTAAAATCTGGAACAAGACAGGGATGCCCTCTCTCACCACTTCTGTTCAACATAGTTCTCAAAACACTGGCCAGAGCAATTAGACAGACGAAAGAAATTAAAGGCATAAAAATAGGAAAAGAAGAACTTAAATTATCACTATTTGCAGATGACATGATTCTATACCTAGCAGACCCAAAAGGGTCTACAAAGAAACTATTAGAGCTAATAAATGAATTCAGCAAAGTGGCAGGATATAAAATCAACACGCATAAATCAAAGGCATTCCTGTATATCAGTGACAAATCCTCTGAAATGGAAATGAGGACAACCACTCCATTCACAATATCCTCAAAAAAAAAAATAAAATACTTGGGAATCAACCTAACAAAAGAGGTGAAAGACTTATACAATGAAAACTACAGAACCCTAAAGAGAGAAATAGAAGAAGATCTTAGAAGATGGAAAAATATACCCTGTTCATGGACAGGCAGAACTAACATCATCAAAATGGCGATATTACCCAAAGTTCTCTATAGGTTCAATGCAATGCCAATCAAAATCCCAACGGCATTTCTTGTAGAAATAGAGAAAGCAATCATGAAATTCATATGGAAAAATAAAAGACCCAGAATAGCAAAAACAATGCTAAGCAGGAAGTGTGAATCAGGCGGTATAGCGATACCAGACTTCAAACTATACTACAGAGCAATAGTAACAAAAACAGCATGGTACTGGTACCAAAACAGGCGGGTGGACCAATGGTACAGAATAGAGGACACAGAAACCAATCCACAAAACTAGAACTATCTTATATTTGATAAAGGGGCTAAAAGCATGCAATGGAGAAGGATAGCATCTTCAACAAATGGTGCTGCGAAAACTGGAAATCCATATGCAACAAAATGAAACTGAATCCCTTTCTCTCGCCATGCACAAAAGTTAACTCAAAATGGATCAAGGAGCTTGATATCAAATCAGAGACATGGCGTCTGATAGAAGAAAAAGTTGGCTACGATCTACATACTGTGGGGTCGGGCTCCAAATTCCTCAATAGGACACCCATAGCACAAGAGTTAATAACTAGAATCAACAAATGGGACTTACTCAAACTAAAAAGTTTTTTCTCAACAAAAGAAACAATAAGAGAGGTAAATAGGGAGCCTACACCCTGGGAACAAATCTTTACTCCTCACACTTCAGATAGAGCCCTAATATCCAGAGTATACAAAGAACTCAAAAAATTAGACAATAAGATAACAAATAACCCAATCAACAAATGGGCCAAGGACCTGAACAGACACTTCTCAGAGGAGGACATACAATCAATCAACAAGTACATGAAAAAATGCTCACCATCTCTAGCAGTCAGAGAAATGCAAATCAAAACCACCCTAAGATACCATCTCACTCCAGTAAGATTGGCAGCCATTATGAAGTCAAACAACAACAAGTGCTGGCGAGGATGTGGGGAAAAGGGTACACTTGTACATTGCTGGTGGGACTGCAAATTGGTGCAGCCAATTTGGAAAGCAGTATGGAGATTTCTTGGAAAGCTGGGAATGGAACCACCATTTGACCCAGCTATTCCCCTTCTCGGTCTATTCCCTAAAGACCTAAAAAGAGCATGCTACAGGGACACTGCTACATCGATGTTCATAGCAGCACAATTCACAATAGCAAGACTGTGGAACCAACCTAGATGCCCTTCAATAGACGAATGGATAAAAAAAATGTGGCATTTATACACAATGGAGTATTACTCTGCATTAAAAAATGACAAAATCATAGAATTTGCAGGGAAATGGATGGCATTAGAGCAGATTATGCTAAGTGAAGCTAGCCAAACCCTAAAAAAAAAAAATGCCAAATGTCTTCTTTGATATAAGGAGAGTAACTAAGAACAGAGTAGGGACGAAGAGCATGAGAAGAAGATTAACATTAAACAGGGATGAGAGGTGGGAGAGAGAAGGGAAATTGCATGGAAATGGAAGGAGACCCTCAGGGTTATACAAAATTACATACAAGAGGAAGTGAGGGGAAAGGGAAAAATAATACAAGGGGGAGAAATGAATGACAGTAGAGGGGGTAGAGAGAGAAGAGGGGAGGGGAGGGGAGGGGAGGGGGGATAGTAGAGGATAGGAAAGGCAGCAGAATACAACAGACACTAGTATGGCAATATGTAAATCAATGGATGTGTAACTGATGTGATTCTGCAATCTGTATATGGGGTAAAAATAGGAGTTCATAACCCACTTGAATCAAAGTGTGAAATATGATATATCAAGAACTATGTAATGTTTTGAACAACCAACAATAAAAATTAAAAAAAATTGATTTCTTAAGTTGAAGTCACCATATTATAAACAATTTGGAAAGAAGGGAGGGAAATCACTCACAGCTTTCAAAGTACTGCTAATATTTAGTGTATTTTCATTTAAATAGTAATGTAACTGCTGGATGTGGTGGTGCATGCTTGTAATCTCAGCTAAAATAGGAAGGCTAAAATAGCTGAGGTGGGAGAATCCAAGTTCAAGGTCAATCTGAGCAATTTAGGAAGACCCTATCTCAATATAAAATATAAAAATTGCTGGGGAAATAGCTTAGATCACCTACCTAACATATATGAGGCCTGGGGTTCAATCCCTACTAACTTAAAAGTAATATTAATGTAACTGTTATTTTAACTTTCATAAAATCTTTGTTTCCTTTCTGCAAGAATAGTATAGCAGAGTAGCTAAACATAGGTGCTCTGGAATTAAGCTGACCCAGTGCAAATCTTACTTCTACCCCACTTAAAACTTTGGGAAAATTATCTAATTTTCTGTAAATAGGAATGGTAATGATGACAATACCAATCTCATAGGAAGACTGTGAAAATTAAATAGAAACACAATTACTGCTCAAAGATTGAATTGAGTATCAGTGAAGTATATAAATTCAATACCTTTTGGATAATTCTTTTTTGTTCTCTGTTGCTAGTTCACTGATTTTTATTTTATTTGATGCTATTTCCTCAGGCTGCAGATAGCAAAAGAAATCACATTTTTAAAATTCAGCACACCAATGATTCAATCAGTACTTTTTTTAAAAAAAGAAAAAAATTTATTTATATATATATATATATATATATATATATATATATATATCACTCTTGAATACACACACACATATATGTACATATACATATATATATACATACATATATTTCAAGAAGTATATTTTACTTATATGTTCTCTGTTTTAATCATTTTAATTGGCAAAATTGATCAATACTTTCAAAGAATTGACAAAATCCTTTATAATGATATAATTTCTAGTCAACAGCCAATGAAGCATGTTATACTGTTTTTAGCTGTAAAAACATTGGATTGGGTTGAAGCCAAGAAATTTGGTTCCACTTTGCTAACATATGGTTATGTGAACTAAAACAGGTCTTCTCTTTCTGTTTTCTTATTTGCAATAGTTTTTTTTTAATTTGTAATAAGTTTTTTATTTGTAAAACTAAAAATTAATGATCTTTAAGGTTATTTTAAGCTCTATGAATCTGTTACTCAATACTTTGTCCAATAATAACCATTCCATCTTCACTCATCTTCTTGGAAACAAGTCAAAGATTGGGTATTTTCATCTTTAGTACAACATACTATTACTTCCTAGCCAAAGAAACTGAAAGAACTATTATTTTCAGATGATGACAGTTTGAGAAAAAAAATTAATAAAAGGAATATGAAATATTGTTGAGAGCCACAATTGAGTCGGGATGGCGCATGGCACTTTGCCAGAAGGAGTGGTTGAAAGGTGACTCCAGCGAGCCATTAAGATGATGATAATTAAGTTAAGCTGTGTATAATTGCTGTGACTGGATGATGCTGGATTGAAACAGGCTGTGTATTCAGTTGTATATAGACCCTTGCTGTCAGGCAATAGGGCGGCTCCTGTTGCCTCGGGTGCCCGCTACTTTTGAGTTCTCGCAGAGTTCCCCTTGAGTTCCTGTGCGGAGGAGCCCCGGAGAGGGCGGAGAGAGTTCCCGGGGAGTGCGTGTGGAGTGCCGGTGGAGTTCAGGCAATAAAGGAGTTCCTGTTTGAACCTACAAGTGCCTCGTGGAGGCTGGGTTATTTTGTGCCCAGCCAGACTGCGGCAAAATATATAAGTCAATCACTTGGCTTTGGGCAAATTATAAAGATTTTATTCCTAACTTTTTATTGTGAAAAAATTTTAACTTACCAAAAACTTTAAAAATAGTACAATAAGTACTACATACCTTTCATCTAGACTTAGATTTTTGCCACACTGAGTACCCTCTCTTTTTCATATTTTAGCTGGACCATTGGATAAAAATTGGTAGAAATTGTGACATTTACATTCCTCAGTTCCTAATATTAATTTTCTTTAAAAATGTATTATTTTATCTTTGCAATATTATTATCATACTTAAGAAAATTAATAGTAATTTGATATTATTTTTTTTTTAGTCCATCAAAAAATTTTTGCAATTGCTCTCAAGATGTCTTTTATAACCTTCCTGTTGTTGTTTTCAAAAATACAAAATCCAGCCTAAGTACATGTATGAAGACACGAAGGATGTGACTCTACTTTGTGTAGAACCAGAGATATGAAAAGTTGTGCTTTATATGTGTAATATGAATTGTAATGCATTCTGTTGTCATATTAAAATTTAAAAAAATTTAAATACAAAAGCCAATTGAGGTTTAAATATCACATTTGGTTGTTGGATCAATCTAGAACAGTCTTCTTGCCTTTTTTGTTTTTTTATGACTGTGTAAAGAGTCCAGGTCAGTTAGTTGACTCATAGTATATAATGCATATTCTGGATTTGTTTGATTAACCCTGAATTAGATTCAGATTAAATGCTTTGAACAAGAATGCTACACAACTAATACTGTATACTTAAATCACACCAGATTGAACATAATGAGAGGTTATTCCAATATTGGTGATGCTGAACTTGATAAGGTATTATCTTCCAGATATGTCCATTTAAAAGATTCATTGCTTGCCTTTAAAATTAATAAGTAATCTGTGGATGACAATTTGAGATCACGGTTTTAGCATCATTTAATGACCCTTGCCTAGATTGATTATTAGCTTGAGGCTATAAAATCAGGATTTTTCTCTGCTGTCATCCCTCCTGTATTTTTTAGCTATTATTATTCTGTAATGAAAATGTTCCTTATCCCAGCATTTCTTTCATTCCTTCTTTCTACCCATTCTTCCTTTCTTCCTCCCTTGTCTTCCTTTTGTCCTTTTTCTTTTTCTGTTTTTGGAGTATCATTATGGACTAAAGGATTCTTTTTTATTTAATGTATCATAATTTATTATTGTCATTATTCTTTCCTATGCTCAAATTATCCAAAGTTAGCAACTGCATAAAGATTTTGAAGTCAAAAGGTAAATTTGAGGCAGGATGGCAAAAACTAAAAAGCAGTATTATGCACAGTTATTGAAGAGTGGTACTCAAAACATTCAACAAATGATACAACACAGCAATTAATAAATCAGAATTGATACCAGCAGTGAGGAACTGGTAAAAATACCATGCACCTATTGTTATCTTGATACTACTGATTGAAGAAAATTTTCAAACTTCTTATGTTAATAGTTTTATTTTTACAAACTACCTCAATTTTAACAATGTGCTATTATAAAAAAGTCAAACCACATAATATTCAATGAAATTAAACCCTTTAAATTCCTTAATCTGGCTCATAAGTGCTAACATATCACAAGTAAACATTTTTAAAATTACACTGCTTTAAGAAAATTTAGATACTGCAGATTCTAATCAACTACTTTAATGTAATCTTACCTTTTCTATCAGAAAATCCTGGTCTTGTTCCCAAATAAAACTACCAATTTTTCTTCTTATTTCTGTGGTGAGAAAAACAAGTCCAATACTATTTTTTTAAAGTTACTTCTGGGGGCTGGGGTTGTGGTTTAGCAGTAGAGCACTCGTCTTGAACATGCAAGGCTCTGGGTTCGATCCTCAGCACCACATAAACATAAATAAATAAAATAAAGATGTTGTGCTCAACTACAGCTAAAATAAAAAATATATATTTTTTAAAAAGTAACTTCTGAATTTTGCATGAAGTCTGAAATTTTTAGGTCAGCCTTATTTCCTGGTATCAAACTCACCTAAAATACTCACATTGTGATTCATATTGATTTCAGATCATTAAGGGGCAGCTCAGAAATTTTGTAACAAACTCCCCAAATGATTTCAATGCATTTTGAGAATCATTGTTGTAGTTTTTTTGTTTGTTTTTCTACTGGAATATATTTGTTCATTAGTTGTTAGCATCTCTATTAGGTCAAATGTTATTAAAGAGAATGACTGTCTAGTCAAAATTAAAAGTATAAAATTGTGGAGTTTGTAGAGCAGAGATTCTCAAGAATTAATTTATTAAAGGAAAAGATTAAAAAATATATCTAATAGGCAGAAATTTACAATACTCAGTATGTCAAAGGACTTCGTTATCATCCTCAATAATCTCAATAATTTCAATAAGTCTCAAAAGTTTCCAAAGTAGCCCACTAGAGAACAAAAAGGTAGACATTTGCTGTCCAGTATGATAGCAACTTGCTAAATATAGGAACTAAGGATTTAACATGTATGACTACTACAAATTGAGATGTGCTGTAAGTATAAAGTAACATTGGATTTTGAAGATCAAATTTTTGAAGGATCAAAAAAAGAATACATTATGTCAATAATTTTATATTGATTATATATTGAGACCTCAACATTTTGGATATGTTAGGCTAAATAAAATATACTCTTAAAAATGTAAATACATATAAATACATTCTTAAAATTAATTTCACCTATTTATTTTTCTTTTTAATGTGGCTACTAAAATACTTAAAATTCACATCTGGTTCACATTCACATCTCACACTTCCAGTAGACCATACTCAAGTAGATAAATATGTATACTTTTTTTTTTAGTAGAATTTTTTTAAAAACACATCTTTAAAAATTTAAGAACATGTTAATATGCTAATTTCAAAGACAGAATAGAAGTGATCATTTTATATCAGATTAGACAGTCATTCCACAATATAAATTCTTTATTGGGTATTCACTAATTGATACAAATAGTTTTTGAATAAATCTATTTAGTCATTATTTGTATAAGCATTTGTAATGATTTGGGAATATAAGTTATAATTAGGTCTAAGTAGGACAGCAAGTATAGAAGAAGCCAATCTTTGGAATTTCTAAATGCTCTTCTATGAAAATGTCTGAACTTTAAAAATTTGTTTTGCTTTTGTTTTTTAATATTTTTAGTTGTACATAGACATAATAACTTTATTTTTTAAGTGGTTCTGAAGATCAAACCCAGTACCTCACAGGTATTAGGCAAGGCTCTTCCATTGAGCTACAACCCCATCCTGCTTTTATTTTAATACTGTCCACAGTGGGAATTTGCAAACAGCTTTCAATTTGTCTTTCCAGAGATAGACACATATCTACTGGGTAATATGTAGGTCAAGAGTTGGCAATAATGCAAGACCTATTAAAAAATGGGATATTAAAGTTAACTCAAAAAAGAAAGGGTATTCCAAGCAGGGCAACCTGAAAGAAAACATTTCAGAAATACTTTATTTATTTGCCATTCCTACATCAAAGGGTTGTTGAAATAAATGTGTTGAAATAAAAATGGGTTGAAACAAAAGCATAAAGAAAGCATAGAAAAATTCAAATATGAGTTTATTTTCATAACGAATCTTTTAAAAATTCAGAAACATAATGAAAAGATTCAAAACTAGCAAAGAAGACAATATTAAATGCTCACCACATCATATACCTTAATAAATTATCTCATTTTATCTTCAAAACAACTTGGGAAAAATTTAATAACTTGTCAAGGATCCCAAAACTAATAAGCGTTGGATTCTAGTCAATGAGCATTTGAGAACAAGATCTGTATCTGCCTTATTCACCACAGAATCCCTGTTTCTGCATTGGAACCTGGCATATAGGAGATGCTCAGTGAATGTATGAATGATAAATGAAGCCAGGATAGATACTCATGGCAATCTCATCTGAAGTCCATGGTTTTTCCATTTATATTATGTGATACGAAACAAAAATATCTGAGAACAAAGGTAAGTTGAATTTGGCTGTCTAGCAGGAATTAGCTGGATTTGGCTAACAGAGATTGGTTGAAGGATCTTTGCTAACCTTTTTGTAGACATGAAGGAGGAAGAATGAAATGACCTAAAGCCACCGAGTTTTTAATTTCAGCATTGGCTACTGCAGAGAGATAGTAGGCATGAAAAACTGTAGCATTATCTTCTATGTAATCAAGGCTTTCATATATTCTAAGAGAAAGAAAGGAAATCACTTAGATTATAAAATAAAGGAGAATGTATTCAACCTTTCAAAAGAAATAATAAAACAATAGAAGACAGACTTACATTTTTTTTTTCCTCCTGACAAAGAAGAAAAACATGGCATATTGCTTATTTGGGGGCCTACATCTAGACAAATCTCAGCTTTAGAGAAGTCATCAATTATTATATAAATTTAGAAACTTGACCTCAGATGATGCTGTTTAACGGGACAAAAAACAGTGGATTGAGAGCCAGCAGCCTGCAAATTTTACCCATAGTCTTTGCTGTAAAGAACTTAGTTAATTCTGAGGTAGGGTATGGGCAGGCAGTCAGGGAAGCCTTCACATATAGAAAGCAACATCCTTCCTAGATCTGTAAAAAGGTGGAAAGAAGAGGAAGGGCATTAGAGAAAAAAGAATGACAAACACGAAGGCACAGTGACACCTTAGACTGGTCTTATGGAAGGAATGAGGGAGAAACTGGGAAATAAACAAGGTGGGCTCTAGCTAAAAATCTAAATCTGTAGGTAATCAGCAAGGGAGAAGGGGAATAAAAGTGGGGAGGCCCGTGAGCAGATCTCTGCTTTACAAACATAATGTGGGAGCAACGGGAAAGGAGATTTTGGAGGACAGATTCCAAGCAACGGAAGCTCTTAGAAAGCTATTGTGACGGTCCGGTCCAGTCAAATGGACAAGGGCCTTGAGGATGAAAAACAGTTACATCTAAAACTGTTTCCAGTCTCCCTCTATCATATATATTTATTAGCGGGCTGCAACCTCCATCCCTGACTCTGGGCTCGTCGTGACAAGAGGCACTTCCAGGCGGCTCTCAGGTACCTCAGGGTGTCTGGGTGCGAGGCGTCACAGCTGAACAAGAAGTCTGCCGCCCGCGAGTCGCTGACTGTCCCCCCTTCGGCCACTGTGGAGACAAAAGCACAGGATAAGCCCAGCAGGCACGCTAGGACCGAGGCATCAGGAGGAGAGGTGCTCCTCTCCCCGCCTCAAGCACCTCCTGCACCCATCTTCCTACCCCAGAACTGCCTCAGCTCTCGGCTGACGCTACCGCTAAACCAACCGCGCTGCCCTTGAAACATGGCGCTGCCTCTTCCTCGAGGACCTGGGGAAGGGGCCGGAGCTGAGATCGCTGATTGGTCCCAGGTCCCCAGCTGAGCTCGATGATTGGTTCCCAAGAGCAAAGGGCGGGACGGGCCTGAAGTGAGCGCCACCGGGAGTTCAGTACCCGACAGCTGAGGTAAGGGAGCGGGCGGAAGGTTGCAGTCGCTGGTAAGTTTTAAACACTAAGTGTTGATCAAGTATTGCGCTTCTTGCAGGCAACGGCTCAAGTTCTGCGGCATCCAGTATTATTCTGAAGCAAAACTCATTTATCATCTCATTTATAAGTGTTTCACTTTGTATCTCAAAAGATGAAGAAGACTTAAAAAAAAAAAAGCCGCAATACTATTACCACAACTTTAAATTTTTTTCTTTAATACAGTCAAATAGCACCAGCGCTCAAATTTCCAGTTTTCTGAAAATATGTGTTTTTCCTCTTACAGTTAGTTCTCCCTCACATTATGTCAGTTTTGGTTTTCTGATGTTGGATCCCTTTAACAAAAATTTCAAAATCATTGATAGAAAGTTATCCTAAAATCTCTTCTTATCTTTTTTAATGTCTGCAAGCTCTGTAGGCATGATTTTTTTGTTCGTTTTTTATATTATTTTTATCTTCTTTTTTTATTTCCTAATCTCATCAGAGGTTTGTCAATTTTATTAGCTTTTTCTAAGAACTTCTGGTTTTGTTGACATTCTCCTTACATATTTCATTTCTGTATCAATTTCAGTTCTATATAATTATTATATACTTTTCTTGATTTTACATTGCTACTCTTTTTCTAATTTCTTGAAACAGATGGTTTTGTTTTAATTCTTTTAGTTGTAGATAGACACAATACATTAATTTTTATGTGGTGCTGAGGATTGCCTCACATGTGCCAGGCAAGTGAGCTACAACCCCAACCTAGCTGGTTGGTTTTTATCCTTTAGTTTTCTAATATATGCGTGTAAGGTTATAAGTTTCCTCTTAAACTATGAGCCACACATTTATGAGATGTCATTTCTTATTTATGCTCAGTTCAAAATATTTTCAGATTTCCATTATGAATTTTTTTGACTCACAAATTATTTGAAATATTTTAAAATTTCCAAATACATTTTCTAATTATCTTGTTTTGATTTATGATTTAAATGTATTAAATAAAAAGAAAAAATATAAATAGGCTGTTCGTGGTGGGTTATTGCTTTGTTGTTGTTTTTTGGTACTAGGGATCAAACCCAGGGCCTCATATATGATAAGCAAGGCTCTGCCACTGAGCTACATCTTCAGCGCTTTTTATTTTTTGTTTTGAGGCAGGATCTCATTAAGTTATCCAGGTTGCCCTCAAATTTGCAATCCTGCCTCATCCTCCCAAGTAGCTAGAATAATTTGTGTGTGCTACAGCGTCTGGTTTGGTTTATGTGAATTAATCCTTTGAAATTTGTTTACATTTTCATTATAATTATATGATCAGTGTCTTGTGTATGTTTAAAAAGAATGTTCTAAGTTGTTGGATGTTCTAGGATATTGGTTACAGTGTTTTATGTATGCTAATTGGGTCAAGTTTGTTAATTTTATTGTCTGACTTTCTGTTAATTACTGAGAAATCCATGTAAAGATCCTCCCCTTTACTGTGGATTTATCAATTTCTTGTACTGTCTGTAAACCTTTGCCTTATATATTTTGAAGTTATGTTGTTAGGGACATGCAAATATATACTTGTTATTACTTTTTAATTTGTTAAACAAATATTAAAGGCAAACTTTAAAACATATAGAATAGAACAGGGGAGATCTTTCTGGCCCCAAGAAAGAGGAGGATTTTTAAAACAAGACACAACAAGTATTAACCATGACAGAAAAAATGATGCATAATAGAAGTCACCATAATTATATAAAGATACATAATGAAGTCACCATAATTAATGAATATAAAAGGCAATAAATGGGGGAAGATACCTGTGTGCAAAGAATTAGTATCCAGAATATGTAAATAAAACTATGAATCAAAAAGAAAGCTTAACAACCCAATAGAAAAATGGGCAAACACAATGGTAGTTAGGGAAATGTGGACTACAACCAAGAAGAGATAATGTACCCACCTTATTAGTAAAAACTGAATTGGCAAAGACATAGATTCATAGAAATTTCCACTGCCAATGAAAATGTAAATCTACACCATCACCTTAACAATTCAGCATTACTTAAAGATATATGCACCCTATGAGTCAGCCTTCATCAGATATACACCTAGAGAAACTCTTGCACTAATGCACATATATACCAGTACACATATACCAGAATGTTTATGGAAATGTAACAAAAGGGAAAAAATGGAAACAACTATTCATCCATCCACAGAAGATTAGATATTTAAATTGCTGTATTTTCATACAGTGAAATACAGTAGTCCCCCTTATCAACAAGGAGATACTTTCCAACATCACAATTGGTACCAGAAATCATAGATAGTACTGAACACTGTATATATTGTTTTTTTCTATACATACATGACTGTGATATAGTTTAATTTATAAATTAGGCAAGTTGATTAATAACACCAATAATAAAATGGAATAATTATAAAAATATACTGTAATTAAAGTTATATGAATAGTTTTTCTCTCAACTAGTATAAAGTGGGTAGTATATATAGTGTGGATATGCTACTCTGGATAGAGGAGGACACAAGATTTCATCACTAAACTGTAATTTTATACTTAAGAATTGCATATGTAGTCACATCAATGTTTATAGCAGCTCAATTCATAATAGCCAACCTATAGAACCAATCGAGGTGCCCTTCAACAGATGAATGGATAAAGAAAATGTGACATATACACACAATGGAATATTAATCAGCCATAAAGAAGAATGAAATTAGGCCAATGTTCTCTCTGATATGTGGATGCTAACTCACAACAAGGGAGGTAGGGAGGGGAAGAATAGGTGTTCATTGGATTAGACAAAGGGGAATGAAAGGAAGAAAGGGGGCATGGGAATACAAAAGACAGTAGAATCAATCAGACATAACTTTCCTTTGCTCATAAATGAATACACAACTGTGTAACTCCACATTATATACAAACACAAGAATGAGATCCTAATTGGAATGGGTTGTACTCCATGTATGTATAATATGTCATAATATACTATACTGTCATGTATGTCTAAACACAACAAATAAAAATAAAAAAAGAATTACTTTGTCCGTAATTTTCCCTTAATATTTTCAGACCGGGAGGGATATAGCTCAGTGGTAGTGCACTTGCCTAGCATATGCAAAGTCCTGAGTTTGATCCCCAGTACCACCAAAAAAAGTAAAAGTTTAAGACTTCAAACAAGGTTATCAATTAAAAGCTTCTTAATTTGTAGCCGGGTACAGTGACACACACACCTGAGAGAGGAGGATTTTGAGTTCAAAATCAGCCTCAGCAAAAGTGAAGTGCTAAGCAACCCACTGAGACCCTGTTAGGCCTGGGGATGTGGTTCAGTGGTTGAATGCCCCTGAGTTCAATCCCCAGTACTAAAAAAAAAAAAAAAAAAAATCTATCTATCTATCTATCTATCTATCTACACACACACACACACACACACACACATATATATGTGTGTGTGTGTGTGTGTGTGTGTGTATATATATATATTTTTCAGACCACAGTTGACCATGGGTAACTAAAACCATGGCAGGTGAAACCATGAATGAGAGGTAGGGAGCTACTATGCAACATAATTTCAAATTTTATAAAAGACAAGGAAAACATACAGCATGATTCCATTCATTTTTGAGTTCAAAAAAGAGGAAAAATGAAACCATATTTTATACCTGTAGTATCCTGAGTATAGAAAAAATTCAATAGTGAACAAATTATTTTTATTTATTTAATTTTTTGTGGTTCTGGGGATTGGAAGGGCCTTGGGCATGCTAAGTAGGTGTTCTGCCACTGAGCTACTTTGCTTCTTTTTTTTGTCTTTTTTATTGATTTTTTAATCAATAAAAAAAATTCTGACAGCAGAATGCATTACAATTGTTATTATACATATACAGCACAATTTTTCATTTCTCTGTTTGTATATAAAGTATGTTGACACCAATTTGTGTCTTCATACATGTACTTTGGATAATGATGTCTATCACATTCCACCATCCTTGCTAATCCCCTGCCCCTTCCATTTCCCTCCCACCCCTCTGCCCTATCTAGAGTTCCTCTATTCCTCCCATGCTCCCCCTCCCTACCCCACTATGAATCAGCCTCCTTATATCAGAAAAAACATTTGACATTTGTTTTTTGGGATTGGCTAACTTCACTTAGCATTATCTTCTCCAATGCCATCCATTTACCTACAAATGCCATGATTTTATTGTCTTTTATTGCTGAGTAAAATTCTATTGTGTATATATGCCACTTTTTTATTCATCCACTGAAGGGCATCTAGGTTGGGTCCACAGTTTAGCTATTGTGAATTGTGCTGCTATAAAAATTGATGTGGCTGTGTCCCTGTAGTATGCCGTTTTTAGGTCTTTTGAGTATAGTCGGAGAAGAGGAATAGCTGGGTCAAATGGTGGTTCCATTCCCAGTTTTCCAAGGAATCTCCATATTGCTTTCCATATTGGCTGCACCAATTTGCAGTCCCACTAGCAATGTATGACACTGAGCTACTTACTATAAATTGTTTTTAAAAAGAAAAAAAAAGCTGACACAAAATGTAGTAGAGGAGCTGGAATTGTAGCTCAGTGGTAAAGCACTTGCCTGCCAAGTGTGAGGCACTGGGTCAATCGTAGCACCACATAAAAAAGAATAAAGCAGGGCTGGGTTTGTGGCCCAGTGGTAGAGTGCTCGCCTAGCATGCATGGGGCACTGGGTTCGATCCTCAGCACCACATAAAAATAAAATAAAGATATTGTGTCCACCTAAAACTAAAAAATAAATTAAAAAAAAAAAGAATAAAGGCATTGAGTCCATACACAACTAAAAAAAAAAAAAAAAAAAAAACATAGTGGATACCTCAGGGTTAAAAAG